AATGTCAAGAACTCCCCAATTAACAAAAGCGCTACTGCCGCGGAGAACCCATATGAAGAACAGATAGATGATTGTCCAATCCGATCCAAGTAGTCCACGCACTCCAGTGACAGAGTACCTTGTCCTTGTGCTCTTGTGCTGTCCAATAACCTAGGATACGAACACATTACAAGCCAATAGACAAAACATCAATCCATAAAAAGTTGAAGGAGAATACAAAATTAACCAGCGAGACTAAGAGACTAAAAAGCATTAGATAATTATCATATGAAATCCAAGGACCGAGTACGTGTTCTTCCTGTTAATCTTGGAATTATAAACGCTCTTGTGTGAACATTAGTAGTTCAAGATGCTATAACACAAGTAAACCAAGAAATACAGAATGAGAACACATAAACTCAATAACCAGTTGTTTGCGAGAATGGCCCATACCTACTGGGTAGAACACCACTTAACCCTTGCATAAATTTATTAAGATGCATTAATAGTTTGCAGAAAAGAATATATGGCCACAAAAGTATCCTTCTCTTTACAAAAAATACAAAAAGTAATCTAGATTGAAGATGAATTCCCTATTATAGAGGATAAAGAAGGGATAGAGCTAATCATTGGTGTTTTATTTTTCCATAGAAGGCAAAGAGTTTTCTTTTCTTACAATTTGCTGCTGTACAAACAGATATATCAAAACCTCTTTCAATCATAGGATCCAACTACTATTGCAGCAAGCAAGAATTAAATCAATGGTTTCTTAAATTTCAAAAGACAATCATGGGAAAAAAAATACAAATAAACACATTATAAATCAGCAAGAACGATTCTAGATCAGAACTCTTACTATTGTAGATAAGTATGACTCCAATTTTTGTAGATTTTGGTTAATAAAGTTGATAGCATCTTGAACCTCACTATCTGTCCACCGAGAACCATCCTCATTTACTTCTGGAAGTTTCTCAAACATTAGAGGACCTGAATAGCTTCCCTCTACAGAAGAGTCTTTCTGCAACAGAGTTGTCAAAATAAAAGCAGTAGTGTAATCAGCAAATAAAAATATAACTTTGTAATAATTATATTGAACAATTAAATGCAGAAAAAAAAAACCCCTCACCTGACATGTAGCATGGAAATTTCCAATAGAAGCCTCCAATTGCAGAAACAGATCATTGATCTTCACCAATAATAATGACACTGACTTCTCAGGGTCATTGACTAAATCATATCCAGCTGTGTCCACCACCATGTAGATCTATTGCATTCAACAGAAGTCAGTGATTCATATGCTAACAATATTTGCAGGTTTACAAGTTTAAGTCATCAAAATTCATGGACGGATGGTACCAAGGTGTCTCTTTTCAGCTTTTTATTTATTTATTTTTGGTACAATTGATGGCAATGGAGATTGGACTTGCAAACTCCTACCTAAAGTCTTAGGCTTAATTAGTGAATTAGTCAACATTCAACAGATGAAGAAATATAACATAACAATACTAAATGGCAACCACATCAACACGGATGAGAAGCTGAAGTTATACTGCATGATTAAGAGACCTGCAATCTCCAATTTATTGATTGAGATGTCTTAGTACTTACGATGTGAAGTACTATATCATTAAAATATATGGTGTACCATTAATTGGAGCTTCACAATGATATACTAATCTTGTAATTTTCTTTTGCATTTGGAAATATAGGTCATTTTTTTACCCACCAAACTAAATGACATAACTGATACCTCTAACAAACACCTAAGTCAATAGCAGGAGTCTTAGTAAAGCTAAAAGAGCATATTAATTAAATGTTTGAATTTTAACAAACGGAAACTATGACACTGATACATGTATACATTAAATTATATTCTTAGTAGGAGAAAAACCTGAGCCAGAAATGTAGCCAAACAGTATCTTAAACTGCTCAACACATTTATTCTCTCAGATATATAGAGGATGCCAGACCATACGTGTGCTGTTTCCCAGAACCATCACTAACATAATCACGAATCAGTTGAACTGTGCCATTAAAAAATGCACATGGACCTCTCCCACATATCATGAAGTATGCTTTTCGAGCATTTGATTCCTGAGAGTAGATAGGTAAACAAAAAAATTTCAATGATCAAAATTGCTAGAGAAAATTAAGGCCAAATGGAAGTCTACCATAATGAAATACTGGTCACTAACCTCGGCTTTAGATTGCCAAAATTCTAGGTTCTTCTGGATGTAATGCAAGTTTAAGAAAGTGTGTTCAATAATGTTCTCCAAAACGATAAAAATTCTGGAATTTTCAGATGCAGTCCTGCACATATGAAACCAATAGAACCTTCTTAAAAAAATCACACCAGTCTATATTTCTAACTAAACCCCACAATGCCAAACTTGAAAACACATGAAACAAACTAGTGACGAGAAGAAAGTAGAGTCTGAACTCTCAAGAACCAGATCAGGGGCTAAAGATGCTAGCCATGGGTTAACAATTTATAGTTTTTTTTTTTTTTTTTTTTTTTACTTATCATTAACAATTTATTTCCTTCTTTTAACAATGGAAATTTCCAACGATCATAGCATAACAATACCAGCTTCAATCACAACAAAAAATGAAGCAACAAAATCCCAGCATTTAATTGAAATTAAGCCCTGAAAACAGTCATGATCATCACAAATGAAAGATTTCAAAATTTCTTGGCAATTTCATCAATCAACTGGAGAAGCATTATTATTGGCATACACTAGAACTCGGATATAACAAGAGAGGTAAAAAATTTACATGGAGGAAGAGGAGACCGAGGCTGAGGTAGGCAGAGGGAGGGGGAGGCAGGTCTTTCTGCGTCGGCGCTTAGTGGCGCCGCCTCCTCCGGCGCGCCGCCATAGAGATTTGAGATTCCAGCGAGCAGGCTAGAGCTGTAGGTAGATGAAGTAGCCGGCAAGAAGCTACGAAGTCGGGTCCAGATATAGTTGGAGTATAATGAGACTATCGCTTTTACGTCCTTCGCCGCCGCCGGCGCGACGGAGAATCCATTGCTAACTGAGTGATAGCCTGGTAGGTGATCGCTCGCAAATGATATCGTGCACCCGGTCAATTGGTCAACGTTTCGTTCTCTGCTCATTTGGGTAATTAGATGATAAATAAGAATAATAACTTTTTGATCAAGTAACATAAACAGGTATCACAATTTCTCATCAGATTCCGATTTCCGCTTCCCGCTCCTTGCTTCGGGTGCTTTCTCCAAGGAGAAAAATATTTGGAATCTGGCCCAAATGTCCAATTCCACTGAAATGTAACCTGAAAATGTAATTAGGCAACTGAATGTAACCTAAAAATGCAATTAGGTCACTGAATGAAAAAATGCACAATTAAGTCACTAAACACTCTAAATGTATGCAATTATACAATCCATTTCAAATGTATTATGTATGCAAATGTTTTCATCCATTTCATCATGTTGTCTGCTTACCTCATTGTCTCAATATGACATGTTAAAAAGTGTAATTACACTTTTTTAAAATTTAGGAGCTTAATTGACTTTTCAGGTAATGTTTAGTGACTTATTTGACTATTTTTCTTAATATATATTGTTAATTGAAATTGTAGTAGAATTAAAATAATACGCTGTTATTGCTATAATGAAGCTAGTGTGTGTGAAAAATGAAATTGAAAAAACAATGCAATATTGTCAAATGAAACTAAAGTATAATTAAAATGGTACTCACTTCATGGATCATACTACTACATGCATCATGTTCCACGATAAAATTTGCCATAATAATTACAATGTGCCTAATTGCCTAAATGAACAATCGTTGTATCGTGGACCCTGATCCAATACACAAAATTCATGTTCATAATATGCATACACATAAACACAATATAATGAAAATGACCCGCATGGGCAGTTCAACTGGTCATAGAGGTGAAACTTTAGAAGAATGACCAGGGAGCAACCTCTCAAAGTGAGTGGGGTTCCTTGTGCGGGGTTCAACCTTTTGGATTCTGTGTATTACACAGCTGGGGACACATAAACACTTAACATAATGCACAGAATTCATACTCATAATGTACATAATTCATGATTATTATATTGTGTTTATGTGTATATATGTGCATTATATGAAGTCAAATTCTGTGTATTAGATTAAAATCCTTAGTGTATTGTGGACCCTGGTCCACGATATAATTTACGGCAAATTATGTCCTGGACCCGTGTCCACACTGAATTGTGGACACGGGCCCAAAACGACGTCGTTTTTTAAAAAAAACGCGTCATTTAGTTTAAAAAAAAATCGCGCGTGTTTTGCCGTTAACGGCGTTATTATTATTATTTTTTTGGATTATGAATGTACAGTTATGCCGTTATGAATGTACAGTTATGCCGTTATGAATGTATAATTATACAATTATGAAATTATGAACACAGAGCTCTAACATTATGAACTTACAATTATGAACATATATAGTGATAAAATTATGACCATGGAGCTTTAAAATTGTGAATATAGAGCTTCGAAGATTATGAATGTACAGTTATGGAGTTATGAATGTACATAGAGTTATGAATCTACAGTTATGGAGTTATGAATCTACAGTTATGAGATTATGAATCTACAGTTATGGAATTATGAATGTACAATTATTGATCGAATTCTGAACTTACAATTATGAACATATAGTGATAAAATTATAAATATAGAGCTTTAAAATTGTGAACATAGAGCTTCGAAAATTATGAATGTACAATTATGGAGTTATGAATGTACAATTATGGAGTTATGAATGTACAGTTATGGAGTTATGAATGTACAGTTATAGTGTTATGAACGTACAATTATGGAGTTATGAATGTACAGTTATTAACATATAGTAATAAAATTATGAACATATACTCTTATAACGAAGCGGTCTGAAATATTAAAAAAAAAAAAAAAGAAGATAACAGTGCTTGCTGGACACGGGTCCAACGCATAACGATTGATAATTTACCGTAAATGAACTAGGCTAAGGTATTGGGCCAAGAACACTAGAGCCAAGCTTTGGGCCCTCATTTGCCTTCTCGATTGGGCTCAAGTCCATTGTTGGATGTTTGGACAGATTAGCCAATTATCTCATTAATTTCATATCATTTTTGTTAGGATCTATTTCAAAAAATTTTATATAATCGATGCAAGCAGACTACTTTCACATTTATGACTCAGAAACATCAAGAAGATTGAACAATCCTAGATGGACGGATGTGGTAGCTTCGTGAGAAAGTGCAGACTAATCTCATTTGTCTACCTAAGATGATTATGGATTGAAAATTAAACAAAAATTGTGTTAACATTTTTGTAATTACGAATGTGCATTTGAAAACACTTGATAGTGTATATGCGGATCGAATAACTGCCAGTGCACTTACATGTGTGTAGCATTAATTATCCGTGAATGCATTATCATATATTTTATTTTCAAATGCCGTCGTAATTATAGAAATGTCACCCTCATTTTTTCCAATTTCCCATTATTCATTGGACTATTACATGTTTGCAAGTTAGTCAGATAGTGATTGGAATTAAAATTTATATATAGTCACAATAATAGTATAATACTACTTGTTAATAATTGGGTTTAAAAAACAATTTCATTCACAATAATTTCAATTCATTGCACATTATATGGCAATCTTTGTTAGTATTCTTCTCTCAAAATTAAATGTTGAATCTCCATCTTTAAGCGCCCTCACACCCGGGCTCGATAGAGAATTTTGGAGGATGTAAATCACAATAACTCATCAAAAGCTCAGCAGATAAGGCCAAATACCGGTACACACAAGGGTTCTGTCCATTTTAGACATAATAATTCCCATGCTGTCTCTACCAAGGTTCGAATCTTGATCTCTTCTCCCAAATATTGCCTATTGAACCAGTGAATTAAGTCCGTGCGAGTTCTATGTATTCTTGATTTGGTAGTACGGAGTATTTGGTATGCATGTGAAGTTGTTTAATTTGTACAAGATCCTAAGTCAAGAATGAGTTAGAATATAACAACTAATAATGTACTAAGACTATGTGGTCTAATGGAACCCGGTTAGACTTTCATTTGGAATGTTATACGTTTGAGTCTTAGTGGAGGTATTATTTGTTTTTTGTGTTTCAGTAGATTGAGAAAGTACATTATTATTGGTTCTTTGTGTTTTAGTAGGTTGAGAAAGTATATGAACAAATACTACATTGTAATAGAGCCAGTAAGTGGTAATGTAGCTAGTAGCGAATTGAATATGCAACTTTATTTCTTTATATTTATAATATTCAACATCATGTTTTAATGTGGACATATTAAACTTGACTCTCTCTACGACTCTGCCCAACAATAATTGAGGAATGTGAATACTAAAATGATGAAAAATAGATGAGGACTAGCATATATTATGTACAAGTTGTTTATGTCATGAATTTTTAAATAATATTTTTTACTCTAATTTTGATCTCAAGTTATATATATTTAAACAATAATTTTGATACTTTTATTAAAACTCATTTTGATTACTAAATAATTGAATTGAATCCATTCCCACTCTTTATAACTCTAACAGTACTAAAAGGAAAAAAAAAAAATATTTAGACAGATTTTTTTTACCAATATTTATCTCATGAATGATATGACATGTATTAATTATTGCATTGTTTTATATTTATTAATTGGCATATCTGAAAAATAACTGGTAATTGGCATATCTGAAAAATAACTGGTCTCATTACAATGTAATTGTGAATCAAGATCAGATGACATAAAACTTCAGGTGAGAAGCGTGAGCTAATCTGATCCATCTATTTGGAATCATACTTTATTTACTCAACCATTGTAACCCTTTCGAAATAACTATTTAATATTAAGTTTGGTGCAACATTTTTTTCATAAGTTATTTAGATAGTGATGGGATCAAGATTTATATAGTCATGATAGTACTACTTGTTAATTTTTGTGTTTAAAAAATGAATTCAATCAAGCTCTTAAACTCTGAAATTAAATGGGTTATGGAACTATCAACCTGCAGATTGACTGTTTTAGCATGCTTCATGCAATTTCATAGCGTATATAACAAGTCTTTCCAATGAATTGGGCAATTTATATCCTACACCAGGACGCGCATTGCATTGTGCCTCTGATGCAAAATGACGTCGTTTTAGATTTTTTTTTTTTTTTTTTTTTGAAATTTCACTACCTGTGCTCGCGGTTAATTTTCTGTAAAAAAAAAATCTCATGTTATACTAGAATACACATAATTGTATACATGAATGTACATAATTGTATAACAAAATGCACATACTTTTTTTTTTTTTTTTTTTTTTAAAGATAATACATATAGTCTAACATAATACATAATATACATAAACTTTTAACATAATAAACATCAACTCTTAACATAATACACATAAATTTTCTGTTTCGGATGTACATAATGTATAAAGAGATGTACATGATGTATAAAAATGTACATATTGTAAAACAAATACACATAATTGTATAAATAAATACACATAATTTATAAATAAATACACATAATCGCGTCAACTCGCCACATAATTTACCAAAACGATGTCATTTTGGGAGACACGAAATGCACAATGCTACGCTCGTCGTGTGCAGGGGTATAACGATTGAATTAAGTGTACCCAGGCCAAATGTGAGTGAAAGTAAATATACTATATTTAGATTGGTTGATATATCACGAATTCGTAGATTTTGGATGGATTTTTGTAACTTTAACGACCAATGTTTAGCAATAAATTAAAACAATTGGCAAAATGGATTTCTTTCTCGGGTTGATCAAACATGTGTCTAGCGGATATTTGAAGATGTGTTTGAGCGAAATTCACATGACTCAAGCAAGTAAATGACTGTAAGGAAGTAAATTAATCTAAGTTGTCATAATTTCCACGAAGAGTCAAAATAATTAGAACATTGTGACTACCAAATCAACTGCCTGACTAACTTGTTATTGCCTCCATTATATACCAAATTGTTCGACCAACTTGCTTGCCCCCTTTAT